AAGACAAGACAAGACAAGACAAGACAAGAAAAGACAAGACAAGACAAGAAAAGACAAGACAAGACAAGACAAGACAAGACAAGACAAGACAAGACAAGACAAGACAAGACAAGACAAGACAAGACAAGACAAGACAAGACAAGACAAGACAAGACAAAGACAAAGGCGAGCATAGTTAAAAATCTTATTAATTCAGTTTTTACTTTTGAGTCAATGTTCGATTTAGTTGACCAGAAGAAGCTTAATAAACATCAGTAAATTTCGAGCTAAGATCAGTTCATAATAAAAATCTATTCTTTAGCTTTCGCCATTTAACTGCATTGAAATAGGGAGACCTTTTGACTTTACATAACATCAGTTATCTTTAGATAATAACCAACAGATAATACAAGTTTTCGAAAACTTCTAGTTTGGAATTGTTACACCTATCCTGAAAAATCTACTAGCAAATGGTAGGCTAGAATTAGTTCTGACATGCAAATATAATTGAAAAAAGCGGGGGATATCGATTCTAAAAGAAAAGGCCTATATAAAGCACAGAGCCAACCAAAAACTCGAAACTGGTAAGTGTATTTGGCGATGATCTGTAACCAATATACGGAAAAGATTTCAATTTATGGTCTCCAGAATGAAGTAATACAAATGCATAAAACTTTATTTTACTTTCTGAACTTTTCCTTTTATCATGTTTAGTTGTCCTAGATAGTTCCATTCCATCTAAATCATGCACATGTTTTTTTATATTTAATATATTTCCATTTTCCGTGCTATTTTCGAATTTTGCGGTACCAAAGACTTATTTCCTTAAATATTACTTTGAAAGCTCACAGCCTGCATAATTAGTAACTGAATAGTTAAAAAAGGTGGGAACGAAAGCTTTGCTCTTGGTCTTAAAGGTGCTAAGTCTTATGTATAACAACTATACACGTCGTATAGGCAAAAGGTTGCAAACTAATGGCTTAATACACAAAGAAAAATGATTCAGCTTATCACGAGAGGGTGTGCTGTCGCAGAGGGTACACAAACAAAAGACAATAGGACAATAAAAATATTCTCTAAACATACCATTGGAGGCGGAAGTCTGTAGCCACTGCCGAGCCTTTCTATAACCTTAACAAGGGTTAAAAATATCAGATTATGGCCACTAAGAAAGCAGCTTCGATATGTAACTAAGTTTAAAACGTGTTTTAAGATTGAGGAGTATTCATCGAAATTAGCTTATTGCAGTTTGTTAAATGCTGCAAGTTAAAAAATTTATAAAGATACCTTTTGCCCTAACTTTCGACTTATAAACTTACGTCGAATATTCTTATCCGAAGTGAGAGATCTGTATTCATTTCAAAAAGAAGTAAACATAAGTGAAAGGAGCCTTGGCAAAACCTTGTTTGACAGGCTGAGGATGTTAAGAAAGGCTGTACCCTGGGTACCAGACTCACTATATATAAAATAAAATAGATAGTCTGGTCTAGTGCGTCCCATTCTTGTTCTGGTGTGCTGATATTAACCAATCAGGAGCGAGTGTACAGATTTCTGTACGTTCAAAGGTCACAGCGAAACAAAAAACTTAGCTCTGGTGTAAAACATTGAATAGAACACAACATGAATCAATGCTAGCGACCTTAACGATTGAGTTTGAAGATGCTGTTAAAACTGTACTCAAAGAATATTTTCCGCATGTTGTGGAACTTAACGCAGAACAGCATTGAAAGCCTTGTTTGTACAGAGACCTTCGCCATATTGCCAACTGGGTTTGCAAAGTCTCTCATATTTCAGGCTGTGCCTCTCATTGCAAAGAAATTAGGTTTTATAGTGAAATGCAGTAAATAAGTGAGTCTGGTACCTAGGGTAGAAAGGCTGAGGCTTGGCCTTTTGATATATGCTTTCAAATAAAGGAAATACCAAAGCAAAGTTAAGTTACGAAATACTAATGGTCACAAATAATGTTTCCCTTTATAGCAGTGCAGCCTTGAAGTAAAAATATATGAAATATATAACAATTTGATATATATTTTACTTTTTAAACCGTGATATAGTGAACATGTTGCGAGAAGGCATAAAGATACAAGACACCACATTACACTGTCGGAAAGAAAATATTGGATTCTTAAAGAGTCGCTAGCCAAATCAATATCCCCAACGATAAAAAATGAGTAACTTTTACAATTCATAGGACTGGCTTTCTGTCAAAAATATTAAGGAAGAAATCGCTGCGGAAATACAAAAAATATATTGGATGAGCATCATATGAATTTCGTGAAACTGATAGCATGATTGAAGAAAACTATTCCGTAATTGAAATCTCATAAAAACAAACAACTTGTTTAGAAGTACCTCATAATTGCCCCAGTCCCAGTACGGTCTTTCTCCATATGACATTATCTCCCACAATAGAATTCCATAGCTCCAGACATCTGATGCTGTGGTGAATTTCTTGAATTGAATAGCCTCAGGCGCGGTCCAGCGAACTGGGATTTTTCCACCCTAAACAAAAAGAATTTTTTGTAAATCAGAAATTTTTGGAAAACCCTATTATTTTTTGAATAATAAGAGTAAGGAATAATATTTGCTCAAATAAATGAGGCTAAAGATTATAGACACCGATAGAGTAGCTAAGATAGAGAAAACAACTTTTATGTCTGAAATAGTTTTGCGTGTATAACTGAACAGTCACTAAACATCAAGCGACACACTAGCACCCGACTATCGCATTATCACCTTTGAATCGCCGGGTTCTGAGCCCCAAAGCGGACACTGCGCTGTAAATACAGTATCGAGCAGTCTCCACAAGGCCAGTTCATAGAAATCGTCATAAATTCCCTAAGACGTGTCATCTAAAGATATTCTCAAAGCAAGACAAACATCATAAGAAATGAAGATATATTTCGTTCAACGATAATGAGCAGTTTGAAAATCGTGCATACAAATATCTCTAAAAATCACCCTACAATCAATGAAAAAGATTATTGCAGACTTTTTGATAGGAAGGAGTAAGGCATCCATAAGAGATGTTTTATTTCGCGGTTACAGCAATAAACAATGCAAATCTCACCGTTGTGTTGTAAGCATCGTCTTCGCTCAACTCTCTACTCATACCGAAATCAGCGACTTTGCAAACCATGTCTTCATTTACTAAAATATTCCGTGCAGCAAGATCCTGAGAAGAACGTTAGATACATAAACCAAACAAAACATTCACGTGCATTGACAATAAATATTTCAATACGCCATTTGGTTATAGTAACAGAAACGTTTCAAGAGCTTTGTTAAGAAGAAATATACTTGGATAGAGAATATAAACTTGGGTGAATGGTCATTTCAGTGGTAAAATATATCAAACACAAGTTTATTTCACTGCTTGGAATCAGATCCATATCAATACTAGAGCTAGCCTTGATAATCAGAAACGCGTATCATTGTTGGCCTTCACATAAGGGGCGGCATAACCATAACCATAAATAGAAGAAACAAGGCGTTTTCGGCATAGAAGCGTCTGTACACAGAACATTAGACTCATATGCCTTGCATTTGGGAGTCAGGAACTGCCATAGAGTCAATAACAACGGACCTCGGCGTGTCTGGTTTAAGGTTATCCAGTGAAAAGATCAATTATGTCAATTGATATACATATGAGTTTATGATATACAAACGTTTTGGTTTTGGATGGACTTTTAGGCTAAAAGCCAAGCAAATACTTACTCTGTGGATGAAACTCATTTCCGATAGATACGTCATGCCAGAAGATACACCCCTCGCCATACCTAGCAACTGCAGTGATGTAAATCCTCCATCATTGTCCTTGAAACATAATAAAAAAAAAGATCAACTCCGTGGTTTACAAGGCCCTTAATGGACTGGCGCCAGAATATTTATTAGACTTATTTATAAGTAAATCTGGAAGTCATCGGCGAGCTTTTTGCAGTACCAGTACGACTGCCTGAGAAAATATCAAACATGGGCAAAATGCTTTTCTTTTAGAGGCGTACAGGCATGGAATGCCCTTCCAGTTAAACTTTTAACAGGCATCTTCCCTGCAGGTCGTCAATACCAAAATAAAATAGACTTATTCTACTTTCTAAATACATTGTGAATTAGTTTTGTATATCTTTTAGATAATATCGTGGATTAGCTTTATTTTTTAATTGTGATATTCTAAGTAGATTGGAGGGCCTCTTGTAAACCAGAATTCGCTGAAGGGCTAGCCTTCTTAAATTATTTTGAAATTGAAAAAATAAAAATGACTATAGCCTTATGGCTATGAGAGTCACTCTGTTGCAAAGAAAAGAGAATCCATCTGACAGAATAATATTGGCAGGAAAATATATTTCTTATAAAATACATACGTGTGAAAATTATGCTTAATATAGCTCATTTTACTTAGTGTTTCTCAGTATCATCAGTTCAGATTCATTCTAATTATAAAATTTCACCACATACAAAAACATTGGGACATGCATACAATAAACAAGAAAAAGTTAGGGTAGATGAAAAAATATAATGAAAAAATCAATTACAGGAGAAAAAAGGATTATTTATACAGATAAAATTCGCAAGAAAAAGCTCTGTCAGTAATTAATCTAATCGATAAGAAAGCACCACCTGAACTAAAACCTAACAATTTATATTAAGACATCATTTCAGTGTTTTGGATCCACATCTTACAAATCACGAAGGAAAATAATCACTGAGGGAAACTGTTTGATATTTGGTGAAAGCAAAGACTTAGCGCCTGCAAATCTAGGAGTTAATACTAATATGGCAAAAGAATTCTTATACGTCAAAGAAATAGCAGCCATGTGAGCCTGGCCTGTTTCTTTATAATGATCAGATGATACAGTTTCATGAAAGAAGTTAAGAGATATCAAGTTTACAGATTTATACACAAAGAAAAGTGGCTTGAGCGCAATTTACTTGTTTAGCTTTAAAACTTCTTATGCAGAGACAATATAGGTAGATGGAAGTGCTAAATTCTTGGAAGCATTAGCTCTAGCAACATTCTTTTGCAGAGGGTTTATTGTTTGGTGTGAAGGTATGAACATGGAATCCACACTGAAAACAAGAGGAAAAATAAAGAGTAGTACGTGATTCTTCAAATTGAGGTTGTCATCCAAGCGGAGACCAAGAAAAATATTTGGACTAAACAACAACTGAAAACTTACCTGTAGAAAGGAATCGAGTGACCCATAGGTCATGTACTCAATAAGAATCATAACTGGTTGCTCTGAAAAGAAAGAGGGAGGACACTTTGCATATCATAGACCAATATTTGAGTTACGAATTAGTCAAAGCTACGGTAGCAGATTCTAGCCACAAGATCATCAGGGTAAAATACATTTTTACTTCCCTATTGCAGCTGAAAACGCAAACAAGGATTTGCTATTGTATGTTTTATTGAATTTATTTTGTGTTTTGTTCATCTGATTAAATACTCCTGTGCATTAGTCCCATGGTGTGATCTGATGCACAATGCTTCGGTTGTCTTTCTTGAATCTATCAAAACAAATTTTCGCCAATCTTCTTTACAATTTTGACTGAAATGTCGCAAGTTTTCCATTAAAAAGGGAGTTTTCGCCTCAACAATCCATTGTCATGAGGCCTCTTTATTGATAGATAGATAAACTTTATTTACAGAGGATAAACCTGGTGAGCCTAATAACTAATCTTCCCCAGGGTCCTCTCTATTGGCAGGCATTACCACCGTTATTCACCATCAAAATAAGAATAAGAACCTTCTCCTAGATAAGAACTACTATAAGAATTGTGACCCCAAAACTCCAACATGCACTTTTCATACAGGTTCCAAAAGCAATAATGCTCTTTCATAAACAAAAGTTCTAAGCCAGGTTCAAAGGCACCTAATTAATAAAATAAGAGTATAGCCAGACATAAAATCATAGAGAGAGGTGGAGCCCCTTGAAAAAATACCTCTGAACTCCCCACCCCCCCCCCCCCCAAACACAGCAAGTAACTGATTAGGCCTATTCATTTTATTCATAACGTCTACACAATAACATGTATGATAATATGCAGCATAAAAAGCATAAATTACTACATACAAGACAGCTCTCGAAATGCCCCAAAAACTTGTATTCATATGGATAATAAGCAACCCAATAATTAAAGCAATAAAATAAAAACAAGACAAATCATGCTACCTTTTGTGATGACTCCCTCTAGGGCAACAACGTTGGGATCGTCAAACTGCCCCATATAGGCCGCTTCGGCGAGAAAATCTTCCTTGGCTTTTTTGTTTACGTTGTCCTTAGGAAAAGGAGAAACAGATACAGCAACGGAAACTACACATCAAATTGTGCGTTGAGACAATCACGTTTATAGAGAATACTCCTGTGTAACAAATGGATACGAAATTCGATTGATAATGAAAATAATACCTTTAATCAATCAGCCAATCGAAAACAATTGACTGCGGTATATTTCTTTACAAACAGGTCCAAGGTTAGAGAACAAGGGCACTGATTGGTCAAAACACGTGTAAACAGATGCAACTTCCCTCCTATTGGCAATTTCCATCTTCGAATTCGTTTAAAATATAACCACTTTTTGGCCATCATTCAACAGGTCATAACGTGGTGAAAAACCTGTACTCATCCACGCTACCCTGAATTTTTTTCAGCAAGTCAGCATAATAGAGACAAAGATAGGGTTAAATTTGTTTACCTAGCCCTTCTTTTAAAAAGGTCTTTTAAAAGTAAGGGAACAGCGAGTCTGAGTCGGACTTTTCAATTACAGGATAGTGTTAGCCCCATGAAACGCTCTCGCAAAAACCCTGATGAGACAAGCACGATTCAACAAAACATGCGATGACGTAAAAACTTTGTTATCAAATATAAAAAATACCCTTAATGTTTTAATGGCAACTGTTATCTCCTCTTCCAACGGTCGTTGCAAAGTGCCTTTGTAAACATCGCCAAATTCACCTAAACATGTAATAAATTCACCTAAACATGTAATAAATTAACCTAAACATGTAATAAATTCACCTAAACATGTAATAAATTCACCTAAAGATGCAATGAATTCACCTAAACATGTAATAAATTAACCTAAACATGTAATGAATTCACCTAAACATGTAATAAATTAACCTAAACATGTAATAAATTCACCTAAACATGTAATAAATTAACCTAAACATGTAATAAATTAACCTAAACATGTAATAAATTAACCTAAACATGTAATAAATTCACCTAAACATGTAATAAATTCACCTAAACATGTAATAAATTCACCTAAACATGTAATAAATTCACCTAAACCATGTAGAAAATAATATGAGAAGGAAAAACTAGGGTGCGAAAAAAGCCGCTTAGCACTTTCGAGATAATAGTGCAATATCTGGCTTCATCCAAAGTTGAAACCTAATGAAAAGTTGTGTCATCACGACAGGTCTTTTGATGTTTGTCTATAAAGATGTTTCCAACATTGTGCATTGCTAATTGTAAGGCGCTAAGAAGTGTGGTCAGAAAAGTGACAAGGAAGGTACAGAGGAGACTCGGGGGGAGGGGATAACTTAGCCTAATACCCATAATTCCACAAAGCAAATAACATTTTTAAAGCACACGAAAATCATCCAACAAATTTTGCATAACCTTTGCCCAGAAATCTTAGTATTACACATATTTAATATTGTCATTTCTAACTGGACATTCATTTTGTTAATGCCAAATCTCCCTCCTAACAACAACAACAAATGGTACTCATAGTTCCGCAAATAATTAAAAAACTGATATCGATAATTCTGCACTTTTCAGAAAAAAGAAGGAGACAAACTGGGTACGGAGGAGAAATGATGGGGAAGAAGGAGCCACGTTGGGTAAGGAAGAGCAACGGTAGGTAGAGGGAAGCCATGGTTGGTAGGGTGAACTGACATTGGGTAAGATGAAACAACAGTGAGTAGAGTGGAGCGACGGTGGGTAGGGTGGAGCGACAGTGGGTAGAGTGGAGCGACAGTGGGTAGGGTGGAGCGACAGTGGGTAGGGTGGAGTGACGGTGGGTATGGTGGAGTGACGGTGGGTATGGTGGAGCAACGATTTGCAGGGTGAAGCAATGATGGGTAGGGTGGAACAACAGTGGGTAGAGTGGAGCAACAGTGGGTAGGGTGGAGCGACAGTGGGTAGGGTGGAGCAACGACTTGCAGGGTGAAGCAACGATGGGTAGGGTGGAGCGACAGTGGGTAGAGTGGAGCGAAGGTGGGTAGGGTGGAGCGACAGTGGATAGGGTGGAGC